ATGTTTTTTGATCGGGTCTATTCTGTCTCTTAGCATGTCATTTGTGCAAGAATGTTCGCTAATGTTTGAAGTGGATAAGAAACTTCAAAGAAGCTGAGTAAACTTTTTCCTAACGTGGAACAGTTAATTTTGGTTGTTTTTTTCTGCCCTGAACATTTTTTTTTAAATCAGATTGTTTATATAATTTTCTAGTATCTAAGTGCAAAGGAAAACGGTGTAGAAAAAATTACGAGAAAAAATATAAATTAAGACGTTCCACTTTAACTGCCCTTTTTAATGTACTTGATAGTAGAAAACTTGGGTACAGATTCCGCAAACACCGCAATTTTTGTATAATTTATGAATATTAAAATATATATATCAGTTAGTATATATAATTTTAAAACGCGAAACTCTTGTTTTTTAAGAATTTTAAGTCGTCAAGAAAGCTTTCAGAGATATATTTCGGACGTTTATTAAAAAAAATTTACAAAACTTAATATGTAACAACAGTTTAGGAACCGAATATTCAAAACAGTCAACAACAAAGGACTAGGAATCCACATATTTATATAAATATAAGTACTTTATATAAAAAGTCTTTCAGTCCACTAAGGTAATACAGAATACACAGCTGTGGTATACTCAAAATACACTGATTTTGTGAATCAGAGTCAGATAAACTAGTGTCAGTTGAGAAACACAATATAGTTTTTCATATAAGTTTATAGTTGAGAAACTTTGCTGCAATAGACGCTAGAGATATACACATATAGACAGAAAAATGAGAGCCAATTTAATACTACTTTTGTAACTAAAGGAAGTAGTGTCATAACAGCTGCAGCAAGTGTTCTTTCTCAGCATGCATTATTCTCCACTAAATTTCTCAGTGTATTCTCACTCGTATATTACTTGGCATTCATGAAATGCAACTGGCTACCAATGCGGTTAACGGAAATTCCATTGTAACGTAACCATCGCCCAAGTAATTCTTAAGTTCCTTAAATGAATTGCCTTAACATTTCTGGGTGGTCCGATGTAGTAAAGCACAAAATCTGCGGTGATTACCACACGCTGTGAAAGTACCTAAGGTAGTCTCAACCACAAATAAGTGGGTTGCATTGGATGCTGGCTTGATTTTGTAAAATTCTTTGAAAAAAAAAATGCTTTAAAACTTTTTTATGTAAGTCAAGTAAAAAGAAAAACATAAAAATACTATGAGAAAATTAAGAAAAAAAAAAAGGAAAATATTTTGCAAAGGCTTCACAATTGCCACAAAGCAGCAATAGCAACGAAACTTCAACCTGTACTCTAATTCCTATGAACTCTCGAAAAATTGTTGTTTGTATGAAATTAAGAGAAAATATGCAAATAAAGAGAAAATTATAATATTTTTTGTTTTCTTTGCCAATAACCACACTACTTTCTTACTCCTTGACTGAATAATTTTTTTCCTCCAACATTTTATTGGCCTGTTTATGTGTTATGTGTTTGTTGTTGTTTATTTATATGCTGTCATATGATATTTTACCTTCATTAAAGCTTATAAAGCTAAACATTTTTACAAAATGACACACACACACACAGACATACATACATACGCGCATACAATATTTGTCGTTCTTGTGTTGTTGATGCTGTGGGAAAAAAATCCTTGAAGTCTGTCGTCCTTAAACGCTTCGAATGTGCGAGCTTTAGTAGTAGTTGATTGTTGGGTGGGGAAGACTGCTATAGGTGCATGTACTGGAATTGTGTCCTTGCTGTTGATACGCCGCTACGTATCAAGTGTCTTTCGCGTTCCTTTTTTATTATTATATTATTATTTCTTTCATTTCATTTTTCTTCTAATTTTAAGCATATTTTTCTGTCGGTTTTGAATTTCTTTATTTATTGTACAGTGGAAAAGGTTTATCAAATCTTAATAAAAAATTAGTAAAATAAGTAAATATTAGTTTTAGCTTTTAAAAAGTCTAGGTTAAGAGTGAAAACATATAGGTTGGGTTAGGTTATACCGGCGATCCCTGGTGGATCCACCTAGGCCCATTAACATATACTTACTTAAATTAATATTAAGAGGTATCTACAAATATATACATTGTGATAATATATATACAGGTACTTTTTACTTAAAACGAATCCAGATAATATGATCTTTTGGTTAAGCCGAACCAAATTATTTAATTTCAATAAATAATACTTTTATTTATGTTTTGACTTAAAACGAACCATTCTTCCCAGTGTGTTCAAAGGCGGTTTATATAAAAAGTCTTGTAAATGCATGAAAGATTTTCTTTAAATTTCATTTAAAGTTTTTGTAAAACAATTGAATCGAGTTAAGAAGGACTTTTTGCATCGGTATGTAACAATAAACAAAACTTAGATCTACCGCTTCAGACTCGAAACGGCAATTAGCTGAGTGCACAGCAGCTGGAGAACCTCACCCAATGTGGCCAAAAATGCAGCAGACAACTGGATATGTTATGGCATACGACGCCATGTCACAAGTTATTGACTACCATGCTCAAGTTGCACGAATAACATTAGAGACTAATTCATTACAATTAGTCTCTAATGATTACAATCTGTTCGTAAACCTCAAAAAAAAAAATAGATCCACGGAAACAGATTTTATTCTGTTAAGATGAATCATTTTACGAGAGAGTTGTCGAAATGTTGGAGAAGCGCTGAAATGATTCTATTACTCTTGAAGGAGACTATGTTGATAAGCAAATCCGAATTTTGTCAAGATGTTATTCAACCAATAGAAGAACGGATTTATCAGTCGAAGTGTTGTTTATTATTAATACGAATAATGTTATGAACGGCATACCCAAAAATGAGCCGTAACTTATTCTGCTAGATGCTTAACAATTTTACAGAATCCCTCAATATATCATTCGAAATTACATTTAAAGTATAACACTTACTCTATAACAATAAACCAGTGAGCGACTTCAACTTAAGCGAAACTAACTCAATCTTAGAGTATCAGTGCTGAAAGGCCACTGGGTATTAGAAAGGCATACATTAAAACTTAGTCTATCCTCTTAGAGTTTAGGGTATTACGGTTGTGATTATACTGATTACAATTATGGGAGAAAACTCGAAATCTTTGGGGCCCCTTTTTTTAACTGGCTTGATACAGCTTTCATCATGTGAAATTAGGGACATAGCCAAGTTAATAGACTTGCTCTCTTCTGCTTGAATAGGGAAGGCGTGCCTTCCCAAAGTGACGCAGTTCATGCTATAAATATTCCGGACTTCTATCTATAAATACAATAAAAATGGAAAATAAATAATTAAATAAAAAAAGTTCTATTCTTTTATCCTCAAAATTGTTAGTAAGATTTTTGCAGATTTTACCACAGTTGCCTGCATTCTGATTTCACCTATGCAACGGTAACATTATTATACTCGATGTTCTACTATGATTGTCTGTTGTCATATTATTTTTTATTATTATATTTTTATTTTGTCATAGCTTAAGTGACACAATTTCATCGCCTCATCGTCATTGCTATCATCAATGCTCCTTTCAATGCTGTTTTTCCGCTCATCTCAGTTTGACATTTGTTCAAGATTTTTTGCTGTTCAATTTTATTTACTTTTCTGAACCTTGCCCTCAGAGCTACAATATGTAGAGTATTTTTAGTTATTTTTATTTTATACAAATCATTGCTTTTATTTCGGAATGTTCAGTCTTAAATTAATATATAAAAGTTATTCTGAACTTAATGATAAATTTTTGAAATCAGTAAAATCATGTGCAATATACAAACTATTGAAGTTATTTCATTATAAATATATATTATATTAAATATGTTCCAATATACACAACAGAAAGATGTTAGTAAATCCACGTTACTATTGAAAAAGATTTCTTAATCTGAGAAACCGAATTTATCTATTATTAACCGTTGTCTAGCGTTCGATCTCTTAAGTATGTTATTTTATTGACTTACTTATTTGCCCATTATAACCCCTTATCGCGTTTCGGTCTAACACAGCACTCGTTTCTAGGGGCCCCTGCTGTCGTTCTCCAGTCTCGTATCAAGCGCAGTTAGTGATTCGTCATCTTGATTCGGAGTCACGGTCTAACCTCTACATCTTCTTCCTAATTAACGTTCAATTTGAATCCCACATACCCAATCCACTCCTTATTATCATTCCTCCACCTCATTCATCCACTTTCCCGCCCATGTAATCGTCTTGTATATCCTTACATGTTATTTGCTTATAGGTCCCTGCGGGTTACAACAACAGTAACCTACAGAGCATAAGTTCCGTCAGTCAAAAGAGGGCTCTACATCCCAATTGCCTATTGAACCCATAGTAGCACCTATTGACAATGTTAATTTTTCGTCTAATTTCCAAGCGTAGTCTACGTTGTGGTTGAACTGAGTAACCTACTTTTTTATTTCAGACAATTGGTATACGATTTAAGCTTTTTTAATTTATATTTATCATTTTTTGACTAAAAATTAATGGTTATACGGTACACTTTTCTTTGATACTCCATTAAAATGGAAAAATAAGCCAATCCGTTTTTCTTTATAATTTTTCTTGTTTCATGTGCAAGGCTGGATCTCTTAATATATGGGAGGAATACAGGACATACATTCTTGTTAATATAGAATATTATAAAATTAAAAATAACATTTTGTGTCCGAATGAATCAGGTTAGGAGTACACAAGTATTTAAATGAAATTTATTCTATATGTTAACTTATAAATATTAAAATAAGTAATATTGAACAACAATTTACTGAAACATTCTATGATAAATAAGTAGGGCAAATAGAATGGTCTATAAGGTAATGTACTCAGTTTACAAAGTTAATCTAACATTAGCATGACTTTTTTCTAACTATAATCTAATAAAAACTAATATTAAAAAAAAAAATATTAATAAATATAACAAATTTTTGTAAAATTGTGCTTTAAGTGTTGTATATATTGATTATATGTGAAATCAAATCAAATAAAGGAAATCACTAAAAAAATATATAAATTTTTTACAGGTCTTGACGCTTTAGTACGTGAATTCAAATCTGGGCGTGTGACATTACGTCGAAATCGTCGCAAAACGAAAACCAACGATGCATTGCAGGAAATGTTCCAAGTCTTAGAAATAAGTCAGAAACAAAATAGGGACTCTAAAATATGTATCGATATGCATATCTAAAAAACTTTCATTATTCTACTATAACCATAATCTAGCTCGCATCTCAATTTAACCTCTGCCAAACGTCTTCAACAACGAATATACGACTTCTTCATCAAAAGGAATCAATAATACTTAAGTGCCTTATACTTACAATTTAATATATCTATTTTAAATATCCATCAATATGATGGATCAATATATACATACATATATACTAAAAATTAACTGGCTTATTGCTTTTTATACGCTTCTTGTGAAATCAAACTATAATACATATTTTAAATATTAAATATTAAATATTTTATATAATCTTTTTTGCTCTTAACTACACGCTTAAAGCTTATTTCTTCTGTGGTCATTAAACAATCCAATTTCCTAAAGGAATATTTTCTATTAAAATTTTATTTATTTTTTTTAAGTATTTTTTATATATATTTCAGTTATTATTGCTGTGTTCATTTATATAATTATATTAAAATCTATATATTTATGTTACATACATATATATTCTAAAATTTGTATGTCATATATTAGTTACAAAATAAGTCTTCCTCCACACAACGATATATTATGCGAAATTTTATGTACTACTTTTTAATTAAATAAAATAATATTAATAAAAATTATTAAAAAATTATTATTAAAGATATCTACGCCTTGGTGCAATTCTGTTGAATGTGTGGATTGTGCAAGTCTGCATTCACACACATTCAATATGATTGCATTACAGCGTAGCTGTCCCTATTTTCTTTTTGTGAGTCCCGATTAAGAGTTGCTAATAAATAAGGCAGGAAAGGAAATATGAGATTAATAAGTAATGATATGAACGCAAATCATTTATCAAAAAAGCAAAACTTAAAATATTAACATAAGAGAGACCCAGTGGAATAAGTATCTTTGAAGAGAGGTATATATATACAACATATGAATATATTAGAGAATAAATCACACTAGATCGAGACGATGATTGATTTGACGATGCATAAAGCTCTACCCCTCCCCAAAAAAGAAAAACAACTTATAAAAGTTCAATTATAGGAGTTTTTTTTTTATAATCATCTTTTAATAATTAAATTATTATTGGAATAACTTAATGCAGAATGCTACAATACGAGCTGTTAGAGATATATATGACAACAAAGTATTTAATGTATGCATTTTTTGGGCATTTCGCAAATTACTACAACAAGCGACTATAATTTAAATCAGAGCTGTCCAGGCCAGATGTGATCACAGGCCAATACAAATCACTGTACAGATTGAAGAGCCGCAGAAACAAATACATATGTTTATAGCTGTTTTCTAAAAAAAAAATATAGTTATGTTTAATTTAGTTTTATTAATTTAAATTCATTTATTTGGTATATCATAAAAATAAAATAAAGTGGATTAAAAACATATCAATGTACGCTCAGTGTACAAAGGCTTAAAGATTTAACCTGTTGGCGCTCAATTGGGTTCGGTTATGGTAACATTCAAACAATCTATACGATTGATAAGAATAGTGAATCGGATTACTTATGTCGTTACTTATAGTTCAATAATAATTTTGCCGCAAAAACTCATTTAAGATGGGAATGGGAGGCACGTTTGCTTACAACGTTAGGAAAGACTGCGTCATGAATACCAATTTTCAATCTGAAGAATTCATCAAGTGTAGCAAGCAAAAAAATTAATCCTTAAAAATTACTCAAGTTTGATATGGGTCAATAAGCATTCTGTTGTCTTTTCAATACAAATTACTCCATTTTACACTGAAAATTATAATCCTAAACTACAATATTTTACACAGTGTATTTAAAGTAAAATTCTAAGTAATATAAGTAAAATTCTTTTAAACTTTTTTTATTATTTGTGTATCGACGAATTATGAAATTAATAAGAGATTGAGAATCATTGATCTTGCAGCTTAAAAACCAAATAATTATAGAAGTAATCTGCGTAATCAAAAAATTATAACATTTACTTAATTGATTTAGGAAAAAATCAAATGTGCAATGCGGTTAGCCCACCTGACTATGTGCCCACTACCAATGGCAATGGTATCTAAGAACACTTCACTTCGTCATCAAGTAGAGTCTAATCCCTAGAATATATACCAGTTTCATATCACTTTCATTTTTATTATAAATCCAATTAAAAGTATGTTTTGTAAAAGTATGTGTTTAGGTTTAATCATTTTAAAAACTATATATAGCATAGTTTTAGAATGTATTTTTATTAATATTTTTAGTTGTGTTAAAATTTTATCACATACTTTATGGCGAAAATAAAAAGATTTTTGAAAAAAAATTGATATTACTGTAACGAAACGAATCGTTGAAGAAAATTAATTTATAAAAACTTAAATTTTACTTCAAAATGAATTCTTTTTATATATTTTTATATTTATATAAATAAAGTTTTCCATCGTTTTTTTAAATAAATTACATTTTTTTATTGACTTTATTTAAAACTATTATTTCTTTGGCTAATACAAAGATCTAAATTTTTTATAACTAATATATTATATTAGTATTGAAAAAGCAATAAAAATAAACCTATAAAAATTAATTACATATTAAAACATAAGATATATAAAAATAATAATATAAAATATTTAAAAGATAAGAATAAGGCATTTTAAAATTATTGCAACGTTAAATTACATATATAGAAGGCAAAAAAAAAACTGACTTAAAATATTATTACATATTTTAATAATTATAATAATAGTACAGTGTAAAGTATATATAAAAAGACTAAAATATATTTCTGATTACTTTAAAATTGCATATATCTTTTTATAAAATATTCCAAATAGATAAAATATTTGAATAAATAAGTAACTAATAATAAAATGCATTTATATAAATATTATTTAAAAAGTTTTTTTTTAAATATTTGTAAAAATTTGTTGCTTCATTGTTTCTTTTTCTGTTAAAAAATTTGTTCAAAATGTTTGTTATATGTATTGTATTATAGAGAGTTAGTAATAAAAAATACATTATTATATTTTTAATATTATTATTGCTATAAATACATAAATGTGCGTTGCGTTTTTCTTTAATATTGTATACATAATATATTCCTTTTTAAAACTGTAAATATTTTGTTTAAACTTGCTAAAATTGACAAATTTCGTTTAAATTTTATTTTCACTAAAATAAATTGACTATTTTTTATTTTAACAATAAAACATATATAGTTTTTTAGAATAAATAAAATTGGAAAAATTTGTTTGTGGCACTTTTTGTCATAAGAAAATGAATGTAATATTTAATACATAATTTTGTTCTATTATTTTTTTTTTTGTTATTTTAAATGTTCACTAAAATGAACACGTGAATTCTTTAATATGTAAATACCAATCATTTTTTTTTTTAACTTTAAATTATCACTAAATTATCAATTTATGAATTATTGATAAAAAAAAACAAACGAAAAATACAAAAAAGTGTATTGTTTAATGACACAAAAATATATTAATATTAATTTTAATCAATAAAATCATAAAAAGTTCTTAAAAATTGAGGAAGACAAATAATATTATTGCTTAAAATTAACTATTAACAAACTAGAATTATAAAAATCGTAAAAATGACGCCAATATTCAACATAATATCATTTACATATATGTATATAAAAGAAAAAAATTAATTATAAAAGATCAATACAATGTTAATATTAAAATTTATATTTTGATTTGTGCATATAATTTCATTACTTTTGAAAATATATTTATATATTTTTGGTAGTTCTGAGAGGCAAATGTTTGATTTGGCACTTTTTGTTTTCACAATCGCTAATTGTGATTTATTTGCGTTTAATTTTAATTTTTTTTTATACACACCATCATTTCTATATGTATTAGAGACTGTAATTAGTTCTCTACTTTGGAGCGAGCTTCTTTTGCTCTTAGTAATTTTAGCTTCTGTACTTTCTATGGAATGTGTTTACTATTTCTTGAAGGCTTTGGTGGTGGTGTTGGTGGACGTTTCTTGTCATCGGTAATAACAAAATTTTTCGCTTCAACATATTCATATGATGTATTGATAATACTGGTTTTAGTTGTAGTAATAATACCCATTGGACTTAATGAATTTATGGAAAATGTGTTTGGATTCCAATCAATGCTATAATTTAAACTGGTAAAATCAGTTGAATCGCGTGTTTTAGCTGGTAACGGTGGTGGAATGAGATCCTCCTCAGATGTAGAGTCTGTGGTATCTACGGAATAAAAAATTATACAATTAAAGCTAGTTTTTAAATTTGGAAAGAATGAATTTTTTGAAATTGTAAATATATTATTATTGGAATTAGTTGGGCTAGTCTTTGAAGTGATATTCATATAACGAAAACATAATTTATTTTTGCATAAATCAATAATATAATAATTATAAGGCAAATAGAAAATAAAGTATTTTTTTTTAAATTTAGTCTAATATTTCAACATAGTTCGTTTAAGTATAAGAAAAGAAGCTAAGCTTAATTTATTAATTAAAATGGTTTTTAACTTAGGGGAAATGGTATGATCGTTTGGGATATGTTCGAAGATATTCATTATTACATGTAAATCTAGATATATCTGTTATTGTGTATACCATGTACATACATATGATATTTATATGTAAGTGCATGTTTATGCATTCTCAGAGTAACATTTGTATTTTATTTAATGAAGAGTCTGTCAGTGGATATTGAATCACTGAAGAAATAACACAATATCGGGTTATATTATATGTTAGTCTTTAAGATAATATATATATATATATGTTATAAAGAAAAAATCACTATATTTTCCAGGTAATTTTTTTTTATTTGAGAAAAAAAACTTGTACTATAATTTAGGATGTTTATTCAAAGAAGACATTCATTATCTTTTTGTAGCTATATAAATATGATTATATATTTATATACCGATTATAGAATGTCCTATATCTCATATGAATATAATGGCAAATTGATAGTAAGATGGAATCTCATTATGATTAAGATATAATGTCAATATAAGTCCACTAATCGAGTTTCATTTATAGTAATAAGCATAAATATAGTCGACTGTTGCCAGGAAAAAGATATATCTCCTTAATCGAATAAATATCAAAAGTAGGGGCCAGCAATATCAAAAAATTTTCAAAAAACAAAAGCAAAAAGCAGTATTATCCCAAGAACTGACAGGTACTGCATGCGTTTTTATTGGTTTTCCTTAACGGTTGAATACCGTAAACTTTATGACTGAACAATTATCACGTTGAGCACATTAATATGAAACCTAAACTTTTGTACGGTGGTATTATATCATAATACCATACATTTATGGGCTACAATAGACTGATATTGTTAAACTTTTCTATACGTACCAACTGAATTCC